CCAGCTACACTCAGACAAAGATTCATTATACCCAGCTACACTCAGACAAAGATTCATTATACCCAGCTACACTCAGACAAAGATTCATTATACCCAGCTACACTCAGACAAAGATTCATTATACCCAGCTACACACAGACAAAGATTCATTATACCTAGCTTCACTCAGACAAAGATTCACTATTACCAGCTACACTCAGACAAAGATTCATTATACCCAGCTACACTCAGACAAAGATTCACTCAGACAAAGATTCATTATATCCAGCTACACTCAGACAAAGATTCATTATACCTAGCTACACTCAGACAAAGATTCATTATACCTAGCTACACCCAGACAAAGATTCAATATACCCAGCTACACTCAGACAAAGATTCAATATACCCAGCTACACTCAGACAAAGATTCATTATACCTAGCTACACTCAGACAAAGATTCATTATACCCAGCTACACACAGACAAAGATTCATTATACCCAGTTACAAACAGAAAATGTACACTATACTTATATTTCCCTATAGTGTTTCACTAGCAAATACGGAGATATGATTCTAAAATTATATTTCTTAACAAATGATAATTTAACATCAGACACTCTATTTGCATCACACTTGAACAAAAGCCACGTCCACGTTTGGGGTTGAAGCCGACGGCTTTTTTCTGTAACTATAGTGTAACAAATCCCCACCTGTAGTACAGCACCCCGACTACAGCTACCACCCGGTTATCTGGGGAGCATGTTGTAAGTTGTTCAAACATGTCATTAATCAGTTCGGAGTCCATTTGTTGTTGCCGTCAGAGTGAACAGACATTAAAATACACGTTCCATTCACTTGATGAGTGTACAGTACCTTGAAACACGTGACGGATGAACAGCCAGCGGTCCTGTTATCTCACACATGTCCTTGTAATAGATACTTTATCTAACTAAACTGATAAGGTATCATATAACAGTTAACTTAAAACCATAGATAACGGTACGACCCTCGGACAGGGTGTACACTATAGCGTGTTAGCACCGAGGGTTATTGGCCGTACAGATGAACAGGTGGACACTATCCAACCTACCTTGGTTTCATATCTTTATTCTTCCATAATTAAAGAGTTACATAAATACATGTATGCATAATGAATAATTAATGAATAAGTACAGAAATACATGCAAAAAAAAAGTATGTGACAAATAACAAAGTAGAATTAATTCATTGACAGAAAATGTGCTGCACCGAGGGTCATTTGCCATACAGATGAACAGGTGGACACTATCCAACCTACCTTGGTTACTTCGGATGATTTGTATAACGCTCTATATTGTACAGTGGCCTGTCCAGTTCCTATAACTAATGCTATTATTCACATTCGGAAATCCTCAGAAGTTATCCAAACCTCATACCCGATTCGCCAATGTTGTTCTTCCAAGATCGGTTGTTATATATAACAGAGCCTTAAGCTTGTATCATTAAACATAGCAGAGCCATGTACCCCTAAATATAGCAGAGCCGTACGCGTGTACCCCTAAATATAGCAGAGCCATGTATCCCTAGATATATCAGAGCCGTGTACCCCTAAATATAGCAGATCCGTACGCGTGTACCCCTAAATATAGCAGAGCTGTGTATCCCTAGATATATCAGAGCCTTGTACTCCTGAATAAAGCAGAGCTTTGTACCTCTAAACATAACAGAGGCTTGTATCCCTTAATATAGCAGAGCTTTGTATCCCTAAATATATCACAGCCTTGTACCCCTGAATATATCAGAGCTTTGTACCTCTAAACATAGCAGAGGCTTTTATCCCTTAATATAGCAGAGCCTTGTATCCCTAAATATATCAGAGGCTTGTACCCCTGAATATAGCAGAGCTTTGTACCTCTAAACATAGCAGAGGCTTGTACCCCTAAATATAGCAGAGCCTTGTACCCCTAAATATAACAAAGCCTTGTACCCCTAAATATAGCAGAGGCTTGTACCCCTAAATATAGCAGAACCGTGTACCCCTAAATATAGCAGAACCGTGTACCCCTGAATATAGCAGAGGCT